AGTTTATAATTTTTTAAATGTAAACTTATTGTAATTTTTTATTTCTCAGTCCTCAATTATACTGGGAGATATATCGGTACTGTTGGTAAGGCGCCCCTCGTAAGAGGAACTCCTTTCTATTCTCGCCTCTTCGACTGCTCTTTCTCTTTCCTCTTTCTGCTGCCTTTAATCTTTTCCCTTTAATCTATTTATGCTTATATGCTTTTGCTCTCTCAATTATTATCAACGTTCATATAATTACTTATGTTGCATATAAAAAAACATTTTATTACTGTGGTCATTATTTTTCATCAATCATATTATTGAGAAAGCAGAGGAAGATGCGGGGCTTTTTATCATCAGTATCAGTGTTTAGTTTATCACTAGCATCATATCTTTTGTGTCAAACGAGAAAATTACGCATTTGATCTGGGACACTATTCGACGATTAGGCGATTTGATCATGTACCATATTATTATTACAGAAAAGATTAAGATCGCGGAATTCTGTCACAACAAATGCTGATCATCATTCTTTGTCATCGCGATATCATAAATCTTCACAATGTTATCTTCATCAAAATATAATTGATTGATCGATTTCAGGGGTTTTGAGGGATCTCCTGCGGATGCTGAGAGCAGCGACGAAGACGATGGTTCGTTTAAAAATACAGAAAAGTCGAAAATACCACGAAAACGATTTCCATGGACTGATGAAGCAAAGTGAGTTATTGATTAAAATTGTATCATTCATAATCTAAACTTGCATTTACAATATGTACATATCTCAATTTTAGAAAACTCGTCCTTGAAATTGCAAACGCCAGGAGACATTATTTCAAAATTCTCAGAACAAGAAAGGAAAGTATGGAATCGTTCGTTGCTACTTTTATGGATACGAATGTTTTACCATTGTGGCCGCCCGGTTGCGTACGATTGCAAACTTTGCTGAAATATGCTAGTCCCATTGAACCTGTGTAAGTTTTATATTATGCCGTTATATAACATATTTATATTGTTAATATTTCCTCTACGAGTGTTTTAAGAAAACTTTCGCTATTTATGCTTTGCTTTGTGCATGAAAATCCCCTGTTATGATTTTTTTCTATTTTTATTAAAATGAAAGGTGTGCGTATTTGAAGATTAGGGTCAAGATCTTTGAAGATCGATTTAAGACTTTTTTTTGCAAACTATGATCAAGAAATCATAGCGCGCGTTGTCGTCACATCATGACTACGTCAGAAAGTTAATTGATCGTTTCATTGTTTGATTATTGTATGTTTTAGGATGGTGTAGTGGATTAATACTGATTTCTACTTCGCTCGAAACATTAACGGATTCCTAGAAAAAAGTCATATTCTACAAGAGTGATATTCAATTTAATGCATTTATAAATATAACAAGATTTTGAGATTATGAAATTAACTTGTACGCAAATGTTTAATGTTAATGTTTAATTTGTTTTTCTCGAATGTTTTCTTAATTTCTTGTACATATATAAAAATTACTTAAATTGTTTTATATGTTTTAGTATACTTTATTATTTATTAAATGCACACAGATAATTTTACATTTTTTTTTTACTTCGTACAATTTGACTTTTTCCCATCTTATATTTACACACTCCTTTAATATCAACATTCATATGTCGATTACATTAATGGATTATTACAATTTTAGCATTAAGAAGAAATTGAAGAAACCAAAAGAAATGGTCAGTGCAACGTCAAACAACGTTACCACTTCTGCCAATATTCAAGTTTGCAATACCATTGCAAAGAATGACACGACAAACACGAATAATCTTCTGTCTCAAGAGAACGAGAGAACAAACACAATTATATCTAAAGTTCAGATTATTAGCGAAAATTCGACGAATATTGTAGGTCAAGTGACGGCGAAGTCTAATGACATCAATATTGATAGAAAGCAACATAGTAACAAATATAAAGATAAGCATGCAGAAAATAGCGTGGGCCAGCAGCAAGAATGCGGCGCAGTCTCCGTCAATAATTTTTCAATTGGTAAAATTTCTGTAGTCCCTACGGCACAATTAATGGCTCAGAAACCAAGTAAGAGTCATGTTGAGAAATTTAATCTCATGGATTTAACGAATAGTTCTCTGTCCATCACACCCGTTAATGATTATAACAAATCGTCGGCGAAATTAACCGAAGTAAAAAAGATATAGTTTCTATTACAGCGTGCCCAGAACCTGTGAGTCATTCTAAAACGAACGAAACTCAAGCTGGACATCATTCCGTATATAGACAAGATACTTCCTATTCATCAGCACAAGTCTTAAAACACAGATTCTTGCAGGAGAATGCTGATACTAAATGTGACAAGAGATTGGATGACAAAGATATCGACTCGATGGTCAACAAGACTGATAAAAAGGAAAAGAAAAGAGAACGCATAGAAATCAAGCATAAATCGTCTCACGATCAAAAGAAAAGAAAGAAAGATCAAAAAATAATTGATCAACAGATAGGGCCTATTAATCAAGACATAGTGCCTATGCCACAACAAACGACTCTTTCGAAAGAGGAACAGGAGCAGAGGCAAAACGAAGAAACAATTGCCGCGACAAATTTCCTTAGTCAGATCATCAATGATGATTCTTCGCCGCGAGGATTAACGGATAAACGGAAAGACGGTTTCATTACGGACGAGACATTAGGAAACATAGTACAACCAACGGAACAGGAAAAAGATGTCCAGATGGTAATGAGATCATTAAAGGAGTTACAGGAATTACAAGAGATGAAATACTCCCCTAATAATTCACCGGTCGGTGGTAGCATACAAAAACCTGGTAAATCGAATGCGCAGTATGTTACTTATCAGGAGGAATATCAACGATTGTATCTCAAGAAGGAAGATAAAATGAGGTCTAAAGAAGAAGCACAATGGTAGAAGTGATATATGTTATCGCCCTTTTGAAGTTTACTTTTCTTGGGGACGATAGCGACGATATATTATTAATTTTGCGAGAGATATTAGGCGGAACTTTCGTATTTATGTAATTATGTTTCGTTTTGAACGATTGAGCGCGGAAGCTGACGGAAACTTCTTCCACTTATATGACACCACTATTGGTGGAATAAAATGTATGCAGCTGAGTATAGGTTTATAGCGATCATACTGTGTATGTCGTGTAAGAATTTTTAAATATTTTCAAATAAAAACCGCCAAATTATGTACATACATTATAAATTCGTTAGTGATAGTTTTGGTTGTATGTGTACAGAATAAGTATATAAATTATGAAATTCTAGAGTACTCAAAAGATGTGAATACACTGGACGAATGAATAATGAGCGAGCAACGAACGCAAAATCGAATTTTCTATATCAGCTTTATAATCAAATTGGAATATGAATTAAATTTTGTTCGTATCTGTTATGCATATATATCTTTAATATTGAAAAACCGCGTTTGCCATCTCTTTCTCATTTGTTCAGCGTATATTCATCTAATAAGTATTTGTAAATAAGTGAGCAGCGTCCAATCGTTCCGTGAGTTGGGTGATCTATAAGAATTTCATTTTCATTTGTTCGACAAGCCGTCTGATTTTTTATTATGATTTTGTCAATTATTCAGAGATAGGTATCTAATACTTTCGGCTGTATATTTTATTTAATTTAATTAAACGTAAGCAATTAAGTGCTTCCTTTTTTTGTAAATGACATCACAATATGAGAGGGATTAATAGTACCAACTTTTGCTTTATATTTTCTTATATGTTTTGATCACCTGTATCACAGAGCGAAAAAAAAAGATGTGTATTGTTCTTCTTTACATTTCGGTTGTTATAATCGTCATAATGTATGTACGCGATGACAAGAGAACAAAGTCAGTTCAGGATACATATTAATCTTTTCGAAATTACATTGCCTTCCATAAATACGATTCATAATTATTATCATAATAAAACAAATTAGCAATCGCATTAAATGCATTTAGAATGCGAAACCATGATATCAGATTATTTTGCAGATACAATACTTCCATTGTACATTATCTTTGCGTCGGATTTTTTTTTTTATTGTAACATCACAATAAAATGTATGTATCTTCAGCGCTTTTATAGTGTTGAAGGAGGGAGTGCGATTATCACTAGATTAGCTCAAGAAGGTACGTGCGAGCATCTGTTGCTTTCTCGACTTGCAGATTTGTGTGGCTTTGTATGCGGCTTATGTGACTGAATAATAGATACGATAATTAGTACGGAAAGAAAGAAAGTGTGCGAGAGAATGTGTGCAAAGAGACTTCTGAAGAGAGCGCGTGAAAGAGCGAGAGAGACAACTAGAATATTTTTGGAACACATAAAGATGATTAGTACTGTATTATATACCATATACCTTACCCTCCCCCTCTCATTTTACCCCTATGATACTTAGAATACGGTTGAACGTCTTGTACAATTCCGCATTGAGAATTTTCACTAAGACGACTTAAAATATAAGTTTTGAATATTTTTTACAAAAGCTATTATACGATTTTTACCCTTTTCTCTTCTATCGTTTGATATATCGTTGATAGCACTCCTTTTTTTCTTTTATACAATTTATTGATAAATGCAATACACGAAAATATCCAACGCTGCCATAAATAGTGTGTACGATAAGAACGAGATATCTGAAATTTTACGATCAAAGATTTTATTTTTTGGTACAATCGCGTTCTTTCCGCTGGATAACTTACCGGGATTTTCTAATTGCAACCTTAAAGTATTATCATAAAATATAAAATGCATCATTGTTAGATACACATTGAAAGCATTAGTACAAGTTCGAAAAATCCATTCATATTCGGAATCTGGGAACTTTTTTTCAGCCATTTTAATTCCATACGGTCAAGAGTTATTATAATTTTATTAAATATAATTTAGTATTTCAAATAGTAACGAATAGCGATGCGTCATTTCTTTCGATTTTTAAGCGAGACAATTTCAGAATGCGAAACAAGGCCAGTAAAAAACCGGTTTTTGTCCTTTCGAAATCGTCATTTTTAGCAGGACTTATAGGGTGTCCCGGAAACAATAAAAACATTCTAAACGAAATGCTCTCAACTCTCGCACTTTGACCTCTGTCTGATTATTTCTATCAACTCTTCCGAGACATCCGGTCGACCTCGCTTTTTATCTCGCTTATCACTCATCATCTTGCTTTATCGTAGGCACGCGCGCATTTTCGAGATGCGGCGTCTCGCCGCGCGACGTCGCGACGTTCGCGTTCCTCGTGACGTAATGCGATTCCGTGGTCTGAAGTGAGCGGGGGTGGCTGGGAGGGTCGGGAGGAGGTGGCGGCGGTCTGATGTGTGACCTTGCAGTGTTTGTAAACAGACACACGTTGCCGTCGCGAACTGTTACGGACGATCGCCATCGCGAGAGCGAGCTACCCCGCGAGCGCTTATCGTTTCCGTGCATCGACGCGCGTGGTGCACGACGCCATGGAGGTGGAGCCGATGTGCATCGTGGAGAACGAGACGGTGAGTACGCGATTTTTTGGCGATACGCGCCTGACAATGTGCTCGCGCGTGACGCAAACCTGCCATGGGGAAACGAGACGGGTCTTGCGTGCGCGCTCGTCGGGATTACACCACGTTGCGCAAAGAGGGCGCGCGCCAGATGGTCGCGTCAGATTTGCGTTTCGCGCGTCCAATGTTCGCGTTGGCACGCGCGAATCGCAATTGTCCCGAACTACCCCAGTCCGCATCGATTGAGATCGCGGAGCAACGGCGGGGGGAGTGGGCGGGTGGATGAGGGGTTGCCGTTTTGTTGGCCGATATTTCGTTCATGCGGTCAAGCTGGCGCCTGACATCGGCTTGACATTCCTCGCAACAGATGCCGCCGCCGCTGCCCCGCGCTCTCGACTTGTAGTTCTCGCCACGCGATGGCGCCGCGGGCGGTCTTGTCGATCCAAACCGCATCGCGCCCGCGATTCAAATCATATCTCTTCCGGTGAGAGATTATGACGAGTCATAACGACGATCTTACGGCTAATCTCAGCTGAGTTTACGTTAATTTCCGCGATTGGCTTTTGCAACGGACATCGGACGGTGAATAGATTTGCGAGTCGAAAGCGAACGCGAGTATTCAATTTTTATATTTCGCGGATTGTAGCGTTACTGCTCGATCGCATCAACTAAATTTAAATTCGAATAGCTCCGTATTTTTTGTGATTATTTAAGTTAATCCTGTATTCGGATAATCATTGAGAATCTCGTAATATCATAATCCATAAGTATATTCCACGCGATCGCAATCCATTGATCGTTATTAATTTCAAGACCCGCATGCCCGAATTCGGTCGAATTGTATTTCAAATTATAATGTCATAGAGCAGAGAGAACGCGATGGATGTATGATCGTCATCAGGTATGTCTTATACGTCGTATCGTACAATTATTTGCGCTAATTACTCGTATAATAATCTTTTTATTTTCAATATTAATTTTCAAATATTAATGAAGAGACTAATCTTAGATTTAATATCTGTGCTTTGATTATTCTGGGAGTCGTATATTTTGAAACGAAAATTATAAAAATGAAATTCACTAGAATATCCACAACTTATTATAACGAAAAACCAATAAATTTCCTTACTTTTGTATAATTTTCACTTTGTTTTAAAATACACAATTGTGTGTCCCGATTGTGTTTCGAATTCAACTTATTTTTTTTCCTAAAGATTAAGCGCTCACTTCACGTCGAATGCAGTGAGCGTAATTGAAACTCTTTTCACTGCGACGTGATTGGCCCATTATCTCAACCATTTCGATACTTCGAAAATCGCAGCATATTTCGATAAATTTCAAATCGCGGTCAGTTGCAGAACGCGCCGCGGATGTGAGAAGTTGGTTCGCGAATCGCTCCGTATGTTACGCGAGTTGTGTTTCGAAAGCGAGTCTCGGGCGCGAATATGAAAGTGAAGTCGCATCGAGAATTAAATATGGAATGTTCGTTCATATCCGAATCTGCTTTGTTTCGCTCCCGATATCGTGTTTGGGAACCGCTTTTGGCGAAAGGGTCAATCGAAGTCGGAGGCGGTGTAATCAAAATGGCGGCGCGCCTCCTCGGAACGCTGCGCGGTGACGCCAGCGTCATCTTCCGCGGATCGGCCGCGCCGCGCCGCGTCGCGTCGCCGCGGGCCGCCGCGGGCGCGCGCCGCGTGCGTCACGTCCCTGCCGCCTGAGAGCCTTTTGGCCCGTGAACTGCGCAGTTGACAGAGCCCGCACGACGCGTAGCACCGGTGAGTTTTCCCTCCAGATATTTTCGCGCGGTGCACCGCGTGTCCATCGCTGGCGTCGCGACGCCGTTGCACGAACGCCGCGGCGCTTCGCCTCCGCGTTTCCCGTTCCGCGTTGCGTGTCCGTTGCGTACCAGCGAAAACCGCCTTACGGGCGACACGCGTATGTAACGTTTCGCTGCGCGGCGCGACGCAGCACAGTTCGGCTCGACTCCTTCGTGCTGTCCGTGTGTCGATGTACCGTCGCACTCGTATGTGTGTGTACGCGCGCGCGCGTGCTCGTCTCTCTCTCTCTCTCTC